TTCTCTCTTTACTTTCCTTGTTTGGTTGCTGCTGGCAAAGTTGTGACTGCTGCTTATTGAGGTGGCTATTTAATGGAGGAGAGTTTCTGATCCGGCTTTAACTTCTGATGGTACCTGGAAATACCTACAGCTTTCCAAAAAAAAAAAAAAACTATTGAAAAATATACGGTTTATGGGTAAAATGTGCTCTATATTATGCATTACATAAATTACTATAATGTAACTATAATTTTTTTTGCCAATAGCAAAAATCACTATTCTCCAAAATATTTATAGTAGTTTGTGATAAGATTATGGTTGATTTTTTAATCAAAATTTATATTGATATAGATTTACATGTAGCTTTAAGAAATAATTCACTTTTTGCTCTTCCTCTTTTCCTTCTGGTACCCCTATAATTTGGATGTTGGAACGTTTCAAGATGTCCTGGAGGTTCCTGAGCCTCTCCTCATGTTTTTGAATTCTTGTTTCTTCATTCTTTTATGACTGGATGTTTCTTTCTTTCTTCTGGTCCACACTGTTGGTTTGAGTCCCAGTTTCTTTCCCATCACTATTGGTTCCCTGTACCTTTTCCTTTATTTCACTTGGTGTAGCCTTCATTTTTTCATCTAATTTGCAAGCAAATGCAACCATTTCTGTGAGCATCCTGATCACTAGTGCTTTGAATTGTGCACCTGATAGGTTGGCTACCTCTTTATTGCTTAGTTGTATTTTTTTTTTGAGCTTTCATCTGTTCTTTCATTTGGGCCACTTTTTTTGGTCTTGATGCACCTGTTCCATAGAGCAACAAGTGGAAAAGTTATTTGAACAAATAATAAAGGAGAACTTCCCCAATCTGGCAAAGGAAATAGACTTCCAGGAAGTCCAGGAAGCTCAGAGTCTCCCAGGGAAGTTGGACCCAAGGAAACACACACCAAGGCACATCGTAATTATATCACCCAAGATTTAAGATAAGGATAGAATCTTAAAAGCAGCAAAACAAAAGGAGAGAACTATCTACAAAGGAATTCCCATAAGACTATCAGCTGATTTCTCAAAAGAGACCTTACAGGCAAGAAGGGGCTGTAAAGAAGTATTCCAAGTCATGAAAGGCAAGGCCCTCCATCCAAGATGACTCTATCCAGCAAAGCTTTCATTTAGAATGGAAGGGCAGATAAAGTGCTTCTCAGATAAAGTCAAGTTAAAGGAGTTCATCATCACCAAGCCCTTATTATATGAAAAGTTAAAGGAACTTGTCTAAGAAAAAGAAGATAAAAAATATGAAAGTAAAATGACAACAAACTCACAACTGTCAACAACCAAACCTAAAATAAAATAAAAACAAAAACTAACTAAGCAAACCACTAGAACAGGAACAGAATCACAGAAATGGAGATTACTTGGAGGGTTGGTTATCAGTGGAGAAGGGGAGCAGGAGGATGGGGGAAAAGGTACAGGGAATAAGTAACATAGATGGTAGGTAGAAAATAGACAGGGGGATGGTAAGAGTAGTATAGGAAATGGAGAAGCCAAAGAACTTAAATGTATGACCCATGGACATGAACTAAGGGTGGGGTAATGTGGATGGGACAGAGTGTGCAGGAGGGAAATAAAGGGGAGGGACAGGACAACTGTAATAGCATAATCAATAACATGTATTTAAAAAATAATAAAATAAATAAATAAATTTTTAAAAATTCAGACAGACCCCATGTTCACTTCACTCAGGTTTCCCCAACCCATCCCATTTTGAAACCAGCAAAATCACCAACAGAACAATGTCTTTTGATTTTTTTGTGAAACCAGTAAGAAAAAAATGTGACCAGAGGATGCTTAACCAGGAATACCAGTGTTTCTCTCAACTTTTTGTACAATATATATGTCCAGGATAATATGTACACTCTAGATCCCAAGTCTTTATTTTTGTGACTCTCTTCCCCAAAAGTTTGATGAGGTTCCTCAGAGCAGGAACCACGTGCTATCTTTGTCTTCCCAGTGCCAAGGAAGGCCCTACCACACAGAAGCAGGGGAGAAGGCAATGGTATGTGACTTATCAAAACAACTTCCCTTCTACAGTCTTGGGCACCAGTGAATTCAATTTCCCTTCTACAGTCTTGGGCACCAGTGAATTCAATTTTTTAAAAAGTTGTTCAATTTCACGCGTCTCCATTTTTTCTCCATTGCTCTCCCCTGCCCTGCCCACTCACCTCCCCACATCCAATCCTTCCTCCTATTGTCTTTGGCCATGTCCTTTATACACGTTCCTTGACCCTTCCCTTCCTTTCCCCCTTGTCCCCCTCCTTCCTCCCCTCTGGTCACTGTCAGTTTGTTCTTTATTTCCATGTCTCTGGTTCTATTTTGCTTGTTTGTTTTGTTGATTAGGTTCCACTTATAGGTGAGATCATATGGTACTTGTGTTTCACCACTTGGCTCATTTCACTTAGCATAACGGTCTCCACTCCCATCCAAGCCATTGCAAAGGGTAGGAGGAGCTCCTTCTTCCTTTCTGCTGCATAGCACTCCATTGTGTAAATGTATCATTGTTTTTCGATCCACTCATTTACTGATGGGCACTTAAGTTGCTTCTAGCACTTAGCTATTGTAAATTGTGCTGCTGTAAACATTGGGGTGCATAGGTTCTTTTGGATTGGTGTTTCAGGGTTATTAGGATATAGTCCCAGCAGTGGAATTGCTGGGTCAAAAGGCAGTTCCATTTTTAGTTTTTTGAGGAAATTCCATACTGATTTCCAGTGGCTGCACCAGTCTGCATTCCCATCAACAGTGTACCAGGGTTCCCTTTTCTCCACATCCTCTCCAACACTTATTGATTTATTAACGATGGCCATTCTGACCTGTGTGAGGTGGTATCTCATTGTGGTTTTAATTTGCTTCTCTCTGATGGCTAGTGATGCTGAGCATCTGTTCATAATCCCTTCATGTCTCTGGGCCCTCCGTATGTCCTCCTTGGAGAAGTGTCTGTTCAAGCCCTTTGGCCATGTGAATTCAATTCTTTCTAGTCAATAAAAAAATGCTATGGATAACCTTCTGTTCAACCTCCACAAGAAAACCAGATATTTAAATCCTAATAAACATTCTACTCATTGCTCATTCAACTAATATTTAATGAGTTCCCATTATGTGTCAAGTAGGATGTGGGGAGCTGGTGATACTACGGTGAACACCATAGATGTGGTCACCGTCCTTATGTTATACTCTAAATTATAAAGCAAGCCTTGCTTTTTAGGCTTCAGATCTTATGCACTAAATGTTTTCTGACTATACTCATGCTACAAATAGGTATTTTGCAAATAACATGCTTGGCATTTTGAGATAGTGCCAAAAATAAGTCCAAATATCCCTAAAAATGAAAATCAGTTGTGGAATGATCAATACTGAAGCAGCCATTTTACCCTGAAATGCTATCATAAATAAAAATAGAGCTAGAGAATCAATGCCACTTACCGAGTTATGTTTCTATGCTTAACGTCTCTTTTCCCTATCAGCCTGTCAGTACCATAAAGGCAGACTCTCTGTGCCTTTTTCTCATTTGTTGTGGTAATTTTAGCACAGAGTTTGTGCAATAAACACGTGTTAAATGTTTCAATTTTTGAGGCCCATTAACTGTCCCCCAGAACATGGGTATAACTCATTTTGAAATGTAAGGCAGATGTTAGGAGTACCTAACAAAATATTATGTTCTCATACTACTGTGTACATGCATTTCTTTCTTACCGTAAGTGGAATGTTAAATATGTTTGGAAAACCTGGCCTACAGAGATGGTACCCAGCATAAGACAGGCCACCTACCTAAATTTATTACCTGATTAAAAAATATTTAAGAAGTATTTTTTTTAATTTTTACTTATTTTTTGAGAGAGACAGACATTGATTTATTGTTCCATTTATTCATGCCTTCATCAGTTGTTTCTTATATGTGCCCTGACTGGGGACTGAACCTGAAACCTTGGTGTATTGGTACGACGCTCTAACCAACCGAGCTACCTGGCCAGGGTTATTACCTGATTTTAATGCAGCAAGTGTTGTCACCTCTCTTATGACTGATCCATTAAGGAAATGGCAGCCCTATCTTTTAAAGATATATAAATAAATGTTTGTAGTAAGATTTTTCATAATCCAGTCATGAAAAATCAAGTTCTTACCAGATTCTGCTTTACAAAGGTTTAAGTGCAGAAAAGTGTCATCAGCAGGTCCTAGCTATGGCTATAATTCTCATATAAAATTAAAGTAATATTCTCACAAACTGGCAAGTAACTTCCTCAAGCATAAGGAACAACAACTTTTATTAATCAATAAACATTTCACAAAAATGTGATTGGGAATGTATATGTACTACTAAGCATAACATGGAAAACACAAAGAAATTAGATTATTAAGGCCTAAAATATCTTTTATAATCCCATCAATTATGTCTTATACATAGTAGATATTCAACACAACTGAACTTAAAATAAACACTCTATAATATGTTCTTGTAAAATGTATAACGCTATAGTAAAGTACATTTCCCAAATATGAGACTTTGTCAAAAATTTTAAAAGCCTTTAAAAATATGGTATGAACAAGGTTGCCCTGAGGGAAAGTAAGATGGACTATAGATTATAAAATCTTCACATATTTTCCACAATAGCATTTTAAAACTAGAAAAGAGCAAATAGTTATAGAAAAAATTCAATGAACCAGTTACTAAAAATTCAGTGTACTCACTACCTGATGAAATATTTCGAAGCACCTTTTGTCTTGCCTTCTTATAATATGAAATGTATGAATTATCTAGGCCTTGAACTTCAGAAACTTAAGAAAATTTCAGTAAGCCAAAATGTCATCAGAAAAAGAAAACTCCAGTATAAAATTTACTACTGTAAGGCCACTGTTTTAAAGTTCTTTCATGTGCAGATACTACATAATTCAGATACTTTTATTTTTTACTACATAAGAAAAACTCTCAACATATAAACGTTTGGATATAACTCGGTTAAGTTCCCTATGAAACCATGCTCAGAGAAAAATTCAACAAATAATGAATGTCCTTTTGAGACTTTTTGCAAAAGAAACTGTAGTTGTACAATGTTTCAATTGAATACTGTAATTTAAAAGCAAGTATAAAACAGTTGCAGCATCCACTACAGAAAAATAAAGTTATTTTCTTCAAGAAAGTTACAGTATTAGTGCTTTAGAGATAATTCTAAGTCCTGACAGAGATGCTCTCAATATCGTCCTGTAGTGTGGCTTCCCTTTGCATCGATTGCCCATTAGACTTCAGTGGCCATGTTTGTGTGTTCCTATGGAAAGAAAACAAAAGAAATACAGAGTTCAAGAGAAGGATCAGTTGTAATACCTGAGCTCGAGTTTTGTTCACATTGCAATTTTCAGAATATTTAAATGTATATAGCACCACTTGTATCCAAGATCCCCACAAAGGTGTGTGGAACCGCAAACACACAAAGTAATGACAGTGCACATCCAAGTGGGACAAAGAAAATAGGTGGTAGTCAGCACACTGCTATTAGTAAGTTGACGAAAACGGCATTCTGCCACTGGGCAAGTTTCACGGGGGACATCCCCAGCAACAAAAATCAGGGCTCTTAAAACATTAGTCCCTCAGGTACAAAGTCTGATGTGACACACGCACAACTTGGAATGGTATTTTTATCTTCGTCATCGTATGGTATCTGATTCTGAAACTATATGGACTCTTCTAGCTTGGCCAATAACACTAAAGACAGCTTGGGGCAGGGGTGGGGGGTGGGAAGCTTTCTTGCTTTTGGATGGTCACTTACAACATAAAAGTATGTAAGGCTTCAATAAACACAGAAAAAGAAATTCACAAGAACAGTAAGACTATGATTGAAGGGTAATGAACATGGATTCTATACTGTGATGCTATGTAAAATATTAAATTACCAACCACAAACTGGACATAAGACCATGTAACTAATAAAAGAGCAAAAATGGTAGAATGATATGTTTTTCTGGGACATTAAAAATTATTAATACATACATGCTTACCTTTTACTAGGGTCTTACATTATTAAAACTGAAAGAAATTTAAAAGTTGATTTATTTTTTGGCATTTACATTAGTATGCAAATGTTTAATTCCAAACAAAAACAATACTAATAGAAAATTCTTATTCTTCTATTTTGGGTAATGAAACCTTCAAAATACATGCATATATATTTGTCAACATTATTCATTTAAATAGAGGTAGGCTTCATTGTATCCCATTTCTTCACTCATTATATAATATAAAAAAAATTTGTTGTCTATTAACAACTTTAAAAAAAAACTTCTAGCTACAATAAGTCTTAAAACTTTTCAACTGAAACACCTTGTTTATAAAAATGTACAATTATTCTGAATCATATTCACCTTTCACACAGCTTCTTCTACACCATTTCTTGGACTGATCATTCCACTTTTCCAATTTTTTAAAAACCTACTTAAGCAGACTGCTGACCCAGCTAAATGAGAACTATCCTCTTCTAGGTTTTCTTAACTTGACACTTGAGTCATTGCATATGTCCCTTTGTGGGTCTTCCTGCATCTCTTCTCCTGCCCAGAACCCTGCCTACTAACTGCTCACCAACTGATCGCCTTCAAGGATCCCCTTTTCCTTCTCAGTCTAGGAAGATGCCCTATTACTACCACATCACATCCTATTCAACCAAGCTTTTAAGGTCCTTTGTAACTTATATACCCCTATCTCCACCCAACTCGACATTCTACTGCCAAACATGGGTCTTTGGCTGTAGCCCCTTCTATGTCTTGCTCTACTCCATGACTGAGCCCATAACCTACCTGCTCTGTGAAGAGAATAGAAACCGAAGTAAGTGCTTAGCATACATTCCCTGACTATTCCTAACGCATTGCTCTTTTCCTCCTCTCTTTAGGCATTTACCCTCAGTGAAATTAAGCTCTTCAAAAATATGATTGTACAACAAATAGTTAATGTAGTATTCCTGACAGCTATCCTTTGAAAGGTCTGTTTACGAGTTTGGTCATTGGCTGGCATCTAGGAACTTAGATTTTGGGAGGGTTCCCACCACTGATCAGTGTCTAAACTGTGCAAACAATATAGTGCTGAACCCGATTTCCTTCCGAGAGTCTGGATTTTGAGGATGTGCCTGGCAGGTGCTGCCTATGTGATCAGCTCTCAATAAGTCTCCAACGAACACCGAGTCTCTAACAAACTTCCCTGGCTAGCAACACCTCGCATGTGTGTGCACAGCTCATTGTTATGGGAAGGAAGCACGTTCTGTGTGACTGTACTGGGAGCAGACTCTTGGAAACTTGCATCTGGTGTCCCCTGGATTTTGCCTGGGTACCAATTCCCCTGTCTGACTGGATTGTGAAGCCCTCCACAGTGACACATCATAGCCAAGAGTGTCACTATGTGATGAGTACTCTGAATCCTCCTAGGGAATCGCTGAACCTGGGGTGGCCTTGGGGACCCCTGGCACAATGGCTGTTGCTCAGTATCTTTTTACAGCTATGAATGGAAGTGTTTGTGTGCGTGCATGTATGTATGTGTTATGTGTGTTTAAGATTAAATTTGATTCATTAAACAAGTTTTTTCTAAAAATGGACTACTTGTAAGGCAATAGGGGAATATATGAAAACTAATGAGGTAGCCTCTATCCTCAAAGGGTTGGCCCTCTCTTTGGGGATAAAGGAAGGTAAACAACAACAGAGACCACCTAAAAGGACAGTTAGAAAGGGAAGGGGGCTTTGGTAAGGCTTCACAGTGGGTCTTCAAAAGAAATCAGGGTTTTAGTAAGAAAAGATTGGGAATCAGGAGGCTATTTCTAGTCAAGAGAACAGCAGGCACAAAGATACAAATACATGAAAACATATGTCATCCTCCAAAAAGCAGAGGATCAGTGGAGAAATGTAGTTAGAAAGGTAGCTTAAGGTTGGACCTGGCTAGCAAATCTGGTCTCTTTTTTTCATAGGCAACAAAGCCCTTGGACAGTATTTGCACAAGAGTGATACGATTCAGTCTGTGTTTTAGGACAATACCTGTGCTGGTAGTGAAGGAATGAAATAAGCAAATCAGAGGAAGCAAGGAAATAAGTTAGAGGCTCCAAAGAGTCCAAAAACAGACCAGGAATACACAGAATGGAGCATACAGTGAAGGTGGAGCTTTCAATCAGTGGGGGAAGGCCAAAATATTCAATACAGTGTTAGAAAACCTGACTCTCTAGCGGGGGTGGGGGGGGGCAGGGGGGGGCGGGCGGGGCAATGAGCCCTTGACCTCACACTGTATCATAAAACATAAATTCTAAATGGAATAAATATTTATATGTTTAAAATGTTATAACCATAAACCTGACCATTATGGTTATAAAAATAACCATAAGGAATTTTTATAAGCATAAGCATGGTACTTGCCAGATTCATCCACATTTACAAGTTCTGTCCTAGAAAAGCCACCACGACAGCTGACAAACACCAAATAAATGCCAGCAAAAGGTATGGCAGATGACTGCCCTCAGGAACCAGGCGCTCTTACAAGTCACCCAGAGAAAGTGCCACCCCTCAACAGGAACACTGGGAAAGCACAGAAATAAGGAAACTGAGGGAAGAAACACAAAGGGCCAACAGGTACACGAAAATATGGTCACATCGTTAATCAGAGACAGGCAAGTAAGAACTATTTTCTGCTATCAGACTGACAACAGATAAAGACTTAATAATGTGGAGTGTGGGCTAGGGTGTAGGAAAACAGGCCCCTTTGTGGACTTCTGGTGATAACAGAAATGAATACAAGGGGCATATGGCAAGATTCCAGAGTGTCAATGTTCCCAGGAGTGTTACTGAGAATAATGAAAATCTGTAAGCTATCCTGAAGTCATCAATAGAGGCTTGGTTAAGTAAGCCAGCAATCATCACACAGGGGTGTGCGTATCCTTAGGGGTACATACACATTTTCCAAGGAGTATGCGGGTACAGCTAGCTTGGAGGGAGTTCATTTCCACATCTTAATTCCCAATGCTTGCCTTCCAGAATTAACCTGCCTGTACAACTGATTAAGTCTGATTCCCCACCTCCCAATTTATACAAGATATACCTTCGCATCCTGAATCTTATTACTCTGCATTACTTGGGGAGCCCCCACATATGGGAAATTGGAAATACTGGTGATAGTGTGAAAAAAACAAACCCATCCTAGCAGCTAGTCATAAATACCATACTTCTGCAGGTGTAATGGTTTCCGAGTCTTTGCTTTAACAACACAATTTTTAGAAAAAAGAGAAAAATTAAGCTGTCAGTGAAAGAACATTCAAAATACTTTTTGATGATAGATCGCTAAGTGATTTTTCTGGCCTATAATTCAGAGTGAGTCCAAAGAATTCAGTGGTTTCGCTATAATAAAGGTCCTTTCGCTATAATAAAGGTCCTTTCATTTCCATCTACATAATCATATAAACAAGGACTTTCTCAGGACTTACATCTATAAAAAGAAAAAATACAATTAGAATGGATATTTGAACACTGTATTATTCTACCAGCAATAATTCATATTTATCTATGAATATGTGAACTAATTAAAAAAAGAAATATATTTCTAATAAAACTTCTTTGTCTAATCAATACTTTACAAAATATGGAATATATTTATGCTACTTTGATCAATAGTAATGTTAGCTCAATCCAGAGGAAATATTTAACACCTAATAGTCACAGCAATCTATTAACATTTATGTCAAGTTTGATTTGGTTATCAATAAAAAACTTTCAAAAAAAAGTCTATGGGGAAATGAAATGAAATCCAAATTCAAGGCAAAAAGAGGAATGATGTAAAATTTCTCACTGTTTAAATGGATGACATCAGTTATCAAATTCCTGTGGTGTGCAGGTTCCACTGAAGAGATTTAACAGAATGATGTAACCGTTCTATTTAAGACTCAGTATTTATAATATGCCTATTTATATCCTTTATAACAATTTAAACTTGAAATAGAAAATTAGATAACATGCGCAATGAGGTTAATAATTTTTCAAAATCTTAGGGTAGATAAGCAAAAAAGTTTGAAAAGCAGTGAAATGACACATCCACAGAGAGGAATAATATGCAGCCATTAAAAGGAATGAATCGAATTACTACATGAGTGAGTCACAGAAATAAGAAGACTTGGACTGGTTGGAGTCGCAAGGAGGACTAGGGGGATTAATAGGACAAGTTTCTGGTGTGGCTGGCTGGCTGCAGGAGCTATGGACCATGAGGAGAAACCAGTGGTCTGAGGAGGAGAGCACATTTTATTTTATTTTTAACAGC